AAGACAATCTTCCACCGTTTTCTTCAGTCTCTGTCTGAACAGAGAAGTTTCCCATTACTGCATTTTGTCTTCACTTCTCCTTTCCTTAAGGGCAATTTTCTGAAGCAATCTGACAATTTTTTTTCTTCCTAATTTCTGTTTAGCACTGTTTTCCCCATTTTATTACATTCTGTCTATACCTTACACCACCACAACTGTTTCTAATCCTATGCCTTTTCTAGCTCTGACTTACTCAACCTCCATTTCCTCTTTCCCTTTCTTTTCTAAGCTTCTCATTTAGAAATCACATTTCATAATCCTTTTTGGCAGCAAGATGGAGGTGTCATGTACTTGCTGGTGTGCAGATGCTTTCCTCCCAAGTCCAACATCCTTTTCATCCAGCCACTAAAAGAAGTTGATTCTAAACACAGATTTAGTGGTAGATACATGGTACTATCTAGTTAAAGCAAAGATATGCTTTATTTAGATAATTTTAAAACAAATTGAGACTGAACATGTAGTCTCCAAATTGATTTGTTAATCCTCTACTGCATCTGTATTTTTTTGAATTTTACATTCCAGCTAGTTAATTTCTTAAACTTGTAGCAGTGGAAATTTAAAAAAGAGCCATAAATGAAAGGAATTAAAACAGAAAAAGAACTGAACACAAGATTTCCCTCGTGGAACCTTAAAAACAATTAGTGCCACTTTCTGTAATGTTCAGATCATACATGATCATCTGGCAAGCCGGTCTTCCATAATAACTGTCAAGCAGACTGATTACCAAAAAAAAGGCAAATGGTATAGATGACTTTCAAGCTTTCAAGCTCAGTGTGAGAGGTCCTTACCCCTCCTATTCTTTGACAAAAAATCAAAAAAAAAGGAGCACAAAATGTGCCAGGGGAAAACACTGATTTCACGCAATCAATAATTTTAATTTTTATGATGTCACAATTCAGTAGTAAATTAGGAATCAGAGGATCTACCAAGAAATGCCAGATGGTTCATTATTAAATACGCCAGCTGTCCTTTTTCCTCCAACATCTCATTTTAAACTGGTGGAAAATGAAGTTACTTTAATATACCCTGTACAGCTCTATAATAAAAACAGACACCAAAATAAAGACTGAAATAACGCGCTACTCACTGGATTCAGCTACTGTACCATCATGATGAAATGTCATCTAATCATTCAGCTATTTCACAAAACAGATCACTTATTTCCACTGAGGTACCTCTGCTCTCCACACCATATTGGCTCTTGCTAACAGAGCTCATTGTGTCAAGGTAGACAAGCAGACAAAATAGCCAGTTCACATAAACTGGATCAACACCCGTACAGTTCAGCTACCAAGGACATGAGCTGAATGTATACATTGTATGTCAAGCCTAACAAGGGCACATAGCGTGATTCTCATCAGATGCCATTTCAAAGGTGGCTTCCTCATTTAGTGCCTGGGAATAGAAAGCAAAAGCAGTTTTAGAGATATATATATGAATGACTTGAGACAAAACTCCTTAGTTCAACAGATTAGCAATACACCTATTTCCAAAACACCTGTGTATTTGAATGGAAGGCAGGGGGTAAAGAAGTTACTTTAAATTCATTATGTGTACTATCTTTAGGTGCTACCTTTGCAAAACCAATAGTTAATAAATAAATCCTTGGGTTTATAAAAAGATAATTTCTTAGACATACTGGACTAAAACTCTCCCTGTTTCATTTCAGTTTTATTACTTAAGGGATTAATTTGGTGTGCTTGAAGAATATAACAGACTGTGTATTCTTCAGAGCTCAGTCTCAGTTATTACAGCACAGCCAAACTCTTTCCACTAAGGCTTGTTAGATAACAAATCTATCCCTCAGCCAAGCATGAAGATGTAAGCAGAGCAAAAGAAGTGGTCTAGGGGGACATTTTTCACATTGCCTCACAAAAAAAAAACCAATGCAAGTTAATTCTTTTCAGTTTCCTGGCTAAAAAAAGAACACTTAATTCCTATGTGAGTGTACTAGCAAAGTCTAAAATGCACCCCAGAAAAAAAATTGTATGCTTTGCTCACCTATGTAGCTGGTTTATATGTTTCTGAATTTCAATCCTTCAAGAACTTTTGGAAGGTTACCCAAATGTATCATTGTTAGATCTGCAGCCACAATTTCTCAACACTAGTAATGTAAACTACATTAGTTGGGGACTAACTGTGCATACTCCTTTGAGAGAAAAAAGAAATAAACTCATGGACTTTACATAAATGTATTCCTATGTATTCTTTTACCCTCTTAGAAAACGCCAGCTATCTCTGAGTGTACTGGCTATTCTGGAAAAAAAAAAAAAAAGGGTTTAGGCACCAGGATCCCTTTTTAATTTCAGACACTTCGTACCTCATCTTTCTATTACTGTGTTACATGTCTAGGATGAACAAGAAACCAGTGAAACAAAGCAACAGATCAGCAATATAAAGTTTAGATATGGCATTGAAATACAGGACTTACAAAACTCAAGAGAAACAAGCATTTATTTGTATTTCCAAACAATTTAAAAACTTCCATGCAGTATTACTAATTGAAATGTTGTTGGAATGTGAAAATAACTTTTTCTCCCTTAAGCTGTTTATATGATTTTTTTAAAGTTCTTTCCACCTTAATAGTCTACAGTTCTAATAAACACTTGTCACAGAATTTCTTTTATTAAATCTCTTCTTTCAAGTTTGTATTTCCAAACAATTTAAAAACTTCCATGTAGTATTACTAATTGAAATGTTGTTGGAATGTGAAAATAACTTTTTCTCCCTTAAGCTGTTTATATGATTTTTTTAAAGTTCTTTCCACCTTAATAGTCTACAGTTCTAATAAACACTTGTCACAGAATTTCTTTTATTAAATCTCTTCTTTCAAGTATTTTTAAAAGACAGTTAAATTGATCCACTTTAAAAGACAATGTTTATACTAGTTCTTTTTAGCAGTATTGTAATGTTTTTAACATAATCCACAGGTGCTTCAAAATATCCTTTCTGAGGACTTTTATGAATGTCTTTAATTAGCATTCATTTCCTGCCTTGGTAACAAAAGACCATGTTACACACTGGAGAACATTATATTTCAACTGGAGGTGGTTAAATTTTGCCAGAGCTGAATGTTTTCTGTTAAACACAGCTTTGCAGAACACTGACAATGGTACATGCTGTGCAGTTAACCCTCTTCTATTTGGCCCTTTCTGTCTGAAGGACCTAAAGCACATTACTGAGCTGGGTTAGAAACTACCAAAGAAATCTGTATTTTCTGCTTTGCTTAGCTTTCGTTAGCCACTCAGTGACTTTTTTGTTGTACTTAAGAATGTATGCTCAACCTAAGATGATAAGCAAAAGGAAGTTACTGGCTCCCCAGCCTCCCTGTTGTTCCTCATCTATGGACAGCTTTTGCCAAAAATCCACCGCTGTGTTTATTTGGGCAGCGATGTATTAGCTCTACCTATAGGTGGAGAAACAGAGGTGAAGTGAGTAACACGAGCTGAAGTCACATAATAAGCCAATGTCATTTGGTAGAATATGCCTTTACTCTTCAGCTACTCTTTCACATTGCCAATACTGCACTTCTAGAAAGTAGTGACAAAAAAGCTTTATTTCTGTGCATGGGTCTCAAACTAGGGTGCATGAAATGTGAACACCTCCAAGCAATAAGTCAGGGTGTAATGAATCTGAGTAAGGCACTTCATTCCCTCAAGGACCACCTGTGAACAGAAAGGGACACAGTCCTATTTGCCAACCACCTGTGATGCTGCTGACTGCATTGCTGGCATTAAAGCATCACCTTATGAAGTTTAATTATTTATGATTTTCATAGCACTCACCATTTAGATTCAATCTTTGTACAACATTGGTTTTGTAAGCTTACTTTTATGTGTTCACATTATCACTCAGGGGATGGTCCTGAAACTTTGGTGCCCTACCTTTGTGTTGAAGCTATCACCACATTTGAAGCCCAAACACCAACTTTGGTTGTTTTCTGACTATACAGTCTAACTAGTTGAGCTACTTTTTTGCTAACTGCAGTCCTCAGAAACTGCCTTATTTGAAATACGAAGTTTACATAGGCCACAGCTATGGAAACAAGTATATCACCCCTCAGTATCAGAGGGCCCCTTCAGTGCTCAGGGCAAACGAGGTGATTGCTTACCTGAGGTGGATGAAACAGGTGAAGAAACCGGACAGCGAGGCAGTCGCCGGGGCGGGGGGGGGGGGGGGGGTGTCTACCCGACTCCAGCTCCGAGTGAGTTGACCGGTTGCCACCATGTGGCACTTCACAGGTTTTAGCAGTTCTACATAGGCCCCTGGCACCTTGGGCCATGCATCCCCTGGCCTCAAGGCTGTGGCTAGGCCTGGTAGCCTCTCACCCTGTGGCCACTGCGGCACGGGGCTTCGGGCATCAAGAGAGCAGCATGACGGCTCCCCAGCTGCAGCTCGGAAACCACCACCCAGCCTAGCTCTGTGGCCCAGAGGAGCAGCGTCTGCCAACCCCATCCGCAGCCGACTCTGAAGAGGTTTCCTCATAAAGGCGGCGTCCTTGACCCTGCCAGAGGACCCGCACAGCGGGGTGGCCACAGCTCCTGCTGTCCTCCTGACTGTAAGTGTTAGCACACAAGACCGCGCATAATAATCCTTAAACCTCCCCCCAGGCCAACCGTCCTCCCCACCCCGACACCTCCCCCTCGCGGCCTCCTTCACGCCGACGCCCTCGACCACCTCTCGCTCCCCGCCCCCTCCGGCCGCACCGCCATTAACCCCTGCCGCCGGCATCCGCCTCTCCCTTCGAGTGGCGCGTGCGGGCAGGCGGCGCTGAGACGACGCGTCGAGGGACGGATCGGTGGACGAGGGCCGGGACGAGGGGAGCGGTGGGGTGGCGCGGGGGTGATTCAGGCGGCTTCTGCGGCGGGAGGCGGCGAGCTGCGTGGCACGGGTGGCCGCGGCGCGGCCCTTGGGGCGCAGACCCCTCTGCGCGGTGAGGGGCCGCACCGGGCTGCGGGGGGTGATGGGCGATCGCTCGTTGGTGGCTGTGGGCTTGCTTTCCTCAGGAGGCCTGAGGTTGTTTGCTGTCAGGCCGTGAACTCTGAGGCCTTAGCGAGGTTGTACTCCCCTCCTGGTTAGGCCTCTGCCTGCCTTAGGTGCCAGACTAGCTGGGGTGCTGCTGGTAAAGGTGCGCTGGTGAGTGGATTTTGTTGCTGACTCTAGGCAATTAGGATGCCGCAGTTAAGGTCAGGGAAGGTGGTAACTGGCAGTGATATAAAGTTGGCTGATGAGATGGTCGCCAGCCCAAGCTCTCTGGGCGCTGGGGTAGAATGTGAGGCAGGTAACATGTTGGTAGTCAAGCAGAGTCATCACCTGGTACCTGAGAGAAAACCTGAGCAGCGCTTACCTTGCTGTCTGCAACCTGCCATGCTCTCCAGCATTCTGTGTGAGCAGTTTGCTCCTCCTGCACCCATGCAGAAGGAGCAAGGTGAGAGCAGCCAGAGACTCCCAGCTAAAAAAAACAAGCAGATACAATGCAGGAGGATTTCCAGAATCAACAAGGGTCTAGAGCTGCCAATTTCAGACACTGCTATATGTGAAAATTGGCAGGCAGCTACTGTGGCTGCAGTCACATGCTGGGGAAAGACTAGAAGGAGAAGGACGGAACAAGGTCAGCAGCGATTTTTCTCAGAAACTACTTTGCAAAGTAAATTCTTGGCAGTGATTGAAAGGAAAGAACAGAACTCAGAAGAACTAAACCACTCAGCATTCCAGGAGAGCTCAGGGATTTCAGGAGAAAAAGGCAAGTATTCTTTTATGGAAATAAAATTACAAATCGCATCCTCAGAGGAGGAAATCAAGAGCATAGAGAGACATGGAATTTCCTGTTTGCCAGAACCAGAGATTCTGCAACTCGGAAACAGTACATGTAGTACTGAAGTGAAAAGCACTAACTCTGTAATGATACTGAAGATGCAAATCCCGTATCTTGAGAAGGCTCAGGAATCCTTGTCTGAACCAGCAGTTCAGGAAGAGGTAGATAGGCCCAAAAAGTCAGATGGGTATAATAGAGTCATAGAATAGTTGGGGTTGGAAAGAACCTTAAGATCATCAAGTTCCAACCCCCCTGCATTGGGCAGGGACACCTCACACTAAACCATATTACCCAAGACTCCATCCAACCTAGCCTTGAACACTGCCAGGAAAGGACCATTCACAACTTCCTTGGGCAACCTGTACCAGCACCTCACCACCTTCACAGTAAAGAACTTCCTCCTTATATCTAACGAAAATTTCCCCTGTTTAAGTTTGAACCCATTACCCCTTGTCCTGTCATTATAGTCCCTAATGAAGAGTCCCTCCCCAGCATCCTTGTAGGCCCTAAATTCTTTAATTGGATCAAGAAAGTCAGGGATGCAGAAGAAAGGAAAGAGATGCTTGAGCAAGAAAGGCAGGGCCTCCTTAATGAAACTAAAACTACAAGGGCCCAGAGAGAAGGGTAGATGTGCCTTGCTGGAACTGCATATGCAGTATCCAGAGTGCAAGAGAGGAGCAGTGAATCTGGGGAAGATGGACAGAAATGCATTGGTGTCACAGTGGCTACAGGGTTCAGGTGGCCAAGAACAACTAATAACCAGCAGAAAGATCCACAAGTATTGCATGAAAAAAGAGCAGCAGAGCTCAAACCCTTAGGAAGGAGCAGACAGCCTAGGGGAAAGTGATACGCACTTGTGCCCTTGTTGCAGAAGTACAGGTGCAGAATTTGGGTTCCTGGGACAAGGGACTGGAGCTGCAGTAAGACCCCATTAAACGGTGAAAAAACAGGAGATAATATTTCTTTTGCAGATGTATCTGTGTGGATGTGAGCACAAGAAAGAGTGGCCTGTACTCTTAGTTAAAAACAGCTCTTAGTGGATGGCTACTAACTTAGCACAAGAATACAGAGATACGAGCTAGGGTCTGCTTTACAGTACTGTGAATACCAGTCTTAGGAGAAAACAGAATTTTAGGAAGAGGAAAGGTTTTTATTGAAGGAGAAAAGCAGTTCTTTAGCACAAAGGAGAGGAGGCCAGATACTCTTTCTGGGTGCAGGGGGTGAAAGTGACACTGGCAGCTACAGGCCCCAAGTAAGAACTTTTTATTCTTTTTTCCCCTCAGAAGTGGTCAGTTCATTTACACATAGAAGGTCAGGCACAAGCAGGAAAGGAAGCAGTAGTTTCAGCAAAGCCAAAAGAGAAAATAGTCAATTCTTCATTCACCTGTATATTATCTGATTGGTTTTGAATATGCATCATGCTGTCTTGGTTTGGTCTTGCCTTTATAGGTTTTGTTTTCAGAACTTTTGGGGTTTTATTAGCTATTCTCTGCAAAACCCTGAAAGATGCAGGAAAAAAAGATTGTGTTTCGGTGTTTTAAGAGTGTTGTATCAATATGGAGCAATTTTTAAAGAATTTTTAAAAGTCTCATTTTTTTTTCAGGATAGCTGTCTGAAAGATTCTTTTTACTTTCAAAGCAGGTGCATTCAAAAGATAAATATTTGCTATAGGTTATTATTAATATTTTATCTATAAACCATATGCTAAAAAAGAAAAAGAGACATATTACAATTGTATCTTTCTTACTTTGAAAAGTAAGATCTAAAACCCTCAACATTCTGCTGGTACATTCTTGAGTCCATTCTCCAGGTGAAACTTTTGGATTGTACAGTTTTTTTACATCATCTTTATTTTTAAATAAAAGGTAGTACTTCATAAAAATGCAAGTCCCACAGTTTTCCTGAATCTTCTTGGAACAGACTGATACATTTGGTTGGACTATATATCTAAAATAAATTACTATATTCTTAGGAACAAGCTTTCCTAATACAGAGAATCTACTATGTAAACAAAAGATTGTACAGCCAAGTGTGCGAACAGCATCTGCATTTTCTTGCCAGACTTGCTCTAATTTGGTTTCCACCTATGTCTTAAATATACTACTTCCAATGTCTTTATGACACCTTAAGGTCCTGTTTACATTTGTTTCTGAAGACAAAATATAATTTGTTACTGTAAGTCTGCTAATAGTGCTAATTTAAAATAAATTAGTAAAACTTTACAGAAGTGTTTTAGCTTTATATGGTGTTGTGTTCTTTAGTAGCCTTGAACGTTTTCTGTTCTGTATAAAAAAAAAAAAAAGTTGGTTTTTTTTTTCCCCTTACCATACTCTTTAATGACACTTCTTTGTTTTTTAATCAGTGAAGGAAGAATGGAAAGCAATTGAGCAAGATTCTGGTACACAGGCTGTGAAGAAGCTTAAGACAAATCAAAACCCATCAGAAGACTCTAAGGAAAAGGAACCTCACTACTGTAAATCTCCTGCAGTTGCTGCTTTAGGTGGGACCCAAAGCAAGAACTTTCTATGCCATTCTGTAACAAAACAGTCCGGTGTGCAGTGTAAAAAAAGGAAACCCAGAACTGATCAAGTCAAATGCTTGCAAAGTTTTAGTGTGACTACACGTGAAGAAGTGAGAAGTGTATCTGCAAAATGTGATGCTGAACATTTCAGAAAAGCCCTAAACCATTGCAATGGCTTGTTCTGTGCAACAGAAAAGAATCCATTTGTGAGATTAGAGGCCTGTAGTTACATCAATACATTTGTGAAGTCTTCAGCTAATGGAACTACCAGCAGTTACAAATTGAATGGATTCATCCATATAGCCCAGGATAAAGGAAAGCGTGTTTTTCCTGATGGTACTGTAGAACAGAGTGATATGAATTGCAGCACTAGTAGAATGCAAAACAGAGGATCACTCATAAAAGGTGGTTTATTGTTCAATAAAGAAAAAACTCAAAACAGAGAAGAGTGTTTTTCATGCTGTCAGAGCAAAAACAAAAAGTCTTTAAGGGGAAAAAGGTTGAATATTGGTAGAAAGCCTAGGAAAAAGAAGAAAATTGCTGAGAAATCAGCAATGCAGAATATATTCAGAGACACGGCTAATGGCAGTGAGTATGAGTTACAAGCAGAAGCAGCACTTGCCAGGTCAGGTTCCTTTGAAGTCTTGGGACTAAATCATGAAGAAATTACTCTGTCACCTTCATGTGATCATGCATCAAATCTTCATGTAGGGAGAAATACTCATGAAGCACAAAATATATCAGTCTGGAGAAAGAACAGTACCAAATCACTTGTGTTTGAAGATGGCTTTAAGAAGAGATCGGAGCTCTCAGTAACAGCAAAAGAAGAAAATTCAAACAGTGTGGCACATCATTCTGCTGCCTCAGGTAGCCTGAAAGTGCTAGCTGATGAGGTCCATGGTGTTTCTAACAGTCACAAAAGCAAGACAGTTAAAAAATTGAACAAAGTTAATAAGAAATTGCATCAGATTACCTGTCAAAGAACAGTACCTATGACTGGTAAAAATGTTTGGCCTTTTGAATCTTGTGCCAGGACTTCTGAATGGGTTCATAAAAATCTTGGGTCTTGCTCAGAAGGAGAAAGACTTGTAAGGGCCGCCTTCAAGGAATCCTCTGATCAAAGCAGTGTTGAAACTGTAGGAAGCAATGCTGTGATTGGGAATTTGAGACAGTTGGATTTCCCTATGTCATTGGAAGAAATTAACAAAGAATCTACATGCAAAATAATAGATTCCAATACTGGATGTCTGACTTCACTTGAAACACCAGGATCGTCTCCCATGAATATTGATGAGACTTTGAGCAGTGAAAATGTGGAATCCCCCATTCATACAGATAGAAGTGCTGTGACTTTTAGCCATGAAGATGTGCAAGAAGTTAAAGCAACCTTGAATTTTACAACAAAGCAAAAAAATAAAAAAAAAGGAACTGTGACAAAAAGAAACCTGTCTGTGACAGTCCGGAAAGGTACATCTACACATGACACACACAGAAAGAACTTGAGCTGTAGGACATCAGTAGTGAAAGAGATATTTTCTGATTTAAAGCTAATGAAAGCATTAAACACTGAAAAACTGACAAAATTCAAAATTCCTTTATGCAGAAACAAGCCTGAATCCAGGAAATTGGAATCTGTCCATTCATTTGGAAAAAAAACCTTTAGTCCACTAGAGCTTTTTGACAGCAGTAGTGTTTCAAGAAGGCAGAAGATGGGTGAAGAGACTTTCTTGGTAAATTCTGAGCAGCGGCCTCTTGCTACTTCAAGTGATGCTACATCTACAGCTTCAACAAAAGAAAAAGCAGATGAGATCAGCAGTAAGGACTTCCAGCATGATGGCCCTAAAAACCTTTCAACCTTGTCTACTCTCTCTGAACATTCTTCTTTATATCCACATCCTTTTCCTGATGGACAGCCAAAGTCACCTGTGCCTGATTTCCATGGTACTGAATGTGTACTAAAATCAAGTTTTCCTGATCATTCGTGGAATGCAGCTGACCACCCTGCTGCATTAGAAATAAATGATGGTAACAAATCAAGTGGAACTCTTTCAGAACACCAAAGTCAAAATACTCCAGATATTCTTGACGCTTACAAGGAAGATATTCTTGTCATTGATGTGATTCAGGATGACCCTGACCTTTTTGGATACAATAATGAAGAGAAGCTTGAACTTGCAGACTGTGAAAATTGTTCTGTGAAGGAGTCCTATGATAGCATCTCCATTAAAGATGAAAAGCAGGATCTTAAGCCTGAGTGTCCTGTTACCTCAGAAAAGAAAGATTCAGTAGGTGATAATTTTAGGTATGCATATCATTTTTCTTTACTACAATAATCCTAAGTACTTTGTTCTCATATCAGTATACTTTGGTTGTAGTGGTCAGGCTTCCTTACAGAATTTTTTCAATTTGTTGGTTGAATTTAAATGTCAAAATTTGATTGAGGTATGACAATGTTCTGAATGCAAATAATTTGTTTTTCGTAAGAACTAGGATTATATCTGCATTGAAGGAAAATATAGTCCTAAAGAACTGGTTTAGACCAAGTGAAGTGAAATATGGAAGTACAAACAAAACTTAGGAAGAGTAATATTCTTGACTAATAACTCAATGTTTTTAAATACCTGACTTGATTTGAGATAGCAGCTATCCCTTTGAGAGAATTTTTTTAGTTGTGAGGTGGTAGAATATTAGCATGCTTTCTAGGTGTAGCATATTCTTTTGCTGGATCTGTACAAGTAAATGGTTGTCTCTACAGTAGTATTCCATTCTGCCATTCTTCTTCTCTGCTTTTCTTCTACCCCCAGACATGTGAGTATTTTTTAAATCTGTAATGTGGTTTACATGTTATAGATGTTTATGATCCTGAGTTAATAACTAGGTAATAAGGTTTTTGGAGGGTTGAGATGATCATAAAGTCACTGAAGGGGAAGATAAGTTTAAAGTAGAAAAGCTTTTGTAGAAGAGGTAGTAGTCCTTCATGGGACAGAGGAACTCATCAACTGTCTAGACTAGTATTCTCTCTAAACTGTGATACTTGTGTTTGATAAATGAGTTTTAAGATGAGTTTAAGATCACATTTTTCATCATACAAAGGAAAACAGAGCTTAGATACAAATAATGTAAGATTTTCCTCTGAAGATTATTTTTTTTTTGTATTGGGAGGGATGTTTTAATTTTCTTCCTGTGCACTTTCTGGGTGGCTTTATCCTTATTTTAAATAAAATGTTTTAATTATTTTCAACATTATGCCACTGCATTAATTTATTTTCCTCTTTGCTCTCCTTATCCTTTCACCTTCATTAAACCCATGTGCAAAAAGAAGAAAAAGAAGAAAATCTTCTCTGAGGTACTGGACAGTTTTTTAAACATGAGAATATAAAACTTTCAGTTGTTAATGTATTAAATATTTTTGCAGAATCAAGCTTATGCAAAAACAAGCCTCTGAAGAACAGGGCAAATCTTCAGTAGGAGCATCAAACTCCTCAAGAAGCAGCTAGGCTCTAGCATAATAAATTTATTAGAATTACTATTAATTTTGTGTACAGTGTATATATTGTATCCTATATACACTACATAACAGAATGAGTGTTTGCTGTATATTACCCCAGGGTAATAATGGCTGTTCTGAGATGGTTTCCAACTGGCTGTCTAGGCATTGCACAGAATGGAAGATCAGAACTTTCAAGCCCTTTCCACTCTCATCTTGGTTATGGTAGTAAAGTTTGGTATTTGTATAGATGCTAACTGAAAATTTTATTGGATCTTGTAAGTACTTTGTAAGGAGGATAAATATTTCCTTAAGTAATAATGACACTGAGAGTAACATTATCACAGCCTTTAGAGAGATGAAAACTGAACTTGTTTGAAGTCAAATTTCAGCTTTCTTCCTGGATCTGCTGAATTTGCTTGCCACCAGCCAAGGAAAGTAAAAATGCAGGCCTCTTATTTCTTAGAATTTCCCCTTAATTTGCTAAAGAAGCAGGCAAAATTGTCTGGTTTTGCTTTTTAAATTCCATAATTTAATGCAAAGATCATTGGATAGTGACTGATCAAAGTTGGTAACAGTCAGGAACATACTAATGAACTGAGTATGACAATATTAAAATAAGGCAGTAAACCTTACTACTGTTTATCAGGTACTTGTATCCCTTAATAATACCAGATAATGACCAGTTCATACTGCTATGTTTTTTTTTATTAGTGTTCGCCAGACACAGCTGGGACTTCAGCTGTCTTTGCCAAAGTGATTATGCTGGCAGAGTTACACTGACATCATACTACATATTTTAAAATAAAATACTGTTTCTGTTAATATCCTTTTTAATTTTTTTTTTCTTTAGAGGTATTCTAGGCTATTGCGTATGTTTGCTTGTTTGGCTTCTTATTTTATGCATACTCAGTTTTGCTTTGTTGCAACATTAGCTTCATATTAGCTTGTAATGATACTTCAATCTGTCCATGTAGAACAGCGAGTCAGAACTTCACTATGGTAAACCATGTCTAACTTATATAAATATTAGTTTATATGCATGTTTTGTTTAATATTTGGTTAATGTTAGCCATTACACTCTAGATGAATGTAATTTGGTGATCTTAGGTAGAAGAGCAATACAAATGCTTACTGGCTGCACATGGTGGCTGTTGCTGAATGTTTTCTTTATCAATACATAGCTTTTGTTATGGTTTTCCCTTCAGATTAATGAGAACAGGCAGATGATGATAGAAAGAACCTGGATCTTTGTTAAAACTGTTTTAGTGCATAAATGCATGAGGATGGACTTCAGTACATCTTGTGTACTAATACTTTGATCTGGCGTTGGTACAGAGCAGTAGGAACTGTAGTTCTGCTAGCAAGTTATTCTGACAGTATAGCTGGGTTCTTAAAAAGGTTTTTAGGATGTGTTGAGTGTTGCTGATGAGTTTAATAGCATTTAAGTTGTAACTGCAAGGGAAATGACTGGTGCCTTAATTTGTAGTGTTCTTCCCACTACAAAAATCTGAGATCTAGCAGCTTGTCAAAATTACAGTTCCTATAATGAAGTAATATTTTTTGTTCAAGTTTCATTGATAAACCAAAGCACTGAAACTGTGTGAAGATTGTACCTGCTTGATTCAGTCACTGACAAGTGTTTGTTGGCAATTATTAGCCACTGCAGATGCGTAACTATTAGTGTGGATCCATTTTGTTTGAGTTTTGAATTTAAACACCAAGACATGTTTAGCTAATGAAGCTTTTCATCTTTGACTGTTTGTGACCTTAAAAGATGGAGGAGTATTTTTAGTTATGAAAATGTAAGGATAATAATTTTTGGCTTCCAAATTTCAGATAATGAGAGCACATGTCCTTCAAAAGGAGAACATACTGGTCACAACAGTGATTGAGCTCCAAAATGCAAATAACTTCTGTTTCACACTACACAATTAGGAGAATCTGGTAAAGATTTGGAAGTAGCTTTTGACCTGAATATGAAGATTTCAGTTTCTTGATGCTGTTTAATATTTTCAGTTTTAAGCAGTGTTTATGAAGATGACAGCTTTCTGGAACTGTCTGCACTGCAGTTTTACAAAAAGAAAGTAACTTGTTACAGGCAAAATCACTCAAACTTTGCATTTCCCATACAATGTGGGGGAGAGGGGAAGTAAGCCTACAGAGAGCTTGCCTATAATAAATAACCTTCTTGTCTCTGCAAACTTGCTGTAACTTACTCAACTTTGCTTCATAATGTGTCTCATAATATTTGTGCCTGAATGTTTGCATAATTCCAAGTTACACATACTGGGGAACTTCTTCATTTCCACTAGGTTGTTGCAAATTTTCATTGTTCCATTTTACTAGGCAGCTTGCTGTCATTACATTTGTTGTCATTTACTAGGGGTAGGCTTCCAAGATCTGTAGTGATGATGATGTTTGATATATTTGATATGTAATATTTTACTATGTATTTTTATCGTTAGAGCTTTTCTGAGGAGAAATACTTACCTTTTTTCCAACTTATGTTTAAAATAGGTGAAGTATATTTCTATGAACAAATGTGTTTGTTATTCTATTCGAGATTCATTGTTATGCAAATTGTCATGAATATAATATTAACATAAATCACATTTTGTAGAAACTGATGAATTGGCTCATTAGTACAGTATTTCTGTAATTTGCTCTACAGAGATTTCCCTTCTTGGTATTTTAGACAAAGGTGAAATGCAGTAATGAGCTTTTACTGACAGCTTTTGAGATTTGAAATGTCTTGGTGGTGGTTAACTCATTTAGGTGTGTATTTGTAAGGATGGCTATAAGAAAGCCAAAAGAGTGTGAAGAACTGTCTCATGACAGTGTGCTGACTGTAAGGATTCTGTCCACAGCTAAAAGTATTACTGAGAACTTTAATTTTATGTAACTTGTTAGATTAATATTGCCTTTGTGCAAGATAGAAATCTTAAGTACACTTTTTTTTCCGAAACAGACACATTACCATACAGGAATCTGGAATGTCAGATGATACTGAAATTTCCTGTGATTGGGTGCTAAAAGGTAAGAGTCTTTGGAGATTTCTGAATGCATAGTCAAGAGGAGATAGTAACCACAAAGGTGTTCAGTAACAAAACCAGGACTTTCTGGTTTCCACATAAAGTAAGAATTTGTCATTTCTGTAATACCTTTTTATCGTAACAGCGTTTTGTTTCTTAACGCATATAAAGTGGGTGTCTTGAAATGGTGCGAACCTGAGTCTTACAGGGAACATGCACTTCTCTTTAGTACTTGTGTGTTGATAGTACTGGGTTTTGGTTGTTTTTTATAGTAAGACACTGAGTACTGTGATACTGCTTTGGAGGCTGACTCACAATCTCACTTTGTTCTTCTCTTAATTAGCAGACAGAATTTTAAAATAGGTTTCTTTTTCCAGGTTGTACTTTTTGTTTTTTGCAGATGCTATGCCCATTCTTCTGATGGTGTCCAGTTTTTTAAGGATGCTTTTTTTTTAGAGAAGGATACTTGAGTTGTTCATTTTTTTTCTTCCTATTTTAAGCACAACAGTCCAAGTAGGCAGCATCTGAGTGTGATTTGTTTTGTTTTCTACAGCTTGCATACAGGCCTACTATGCAAAGTATGTCTGATGTGGAAGTTTCCCTTAGATAGGTTGAAGGAACAGGAGAATAAAACTAACACACTGGAGAAGGCACAGTGTGCTGATGCTGGTTTTGACAGTTCTTGGTGTTCCCCTTTCTGGTGTCAGTTTGTCAGCTTGCTGTTAGTGTAACACTTGGTCATTATGTATTGTTTTTGTTGCAACCTTGAAAAGTCTCTGCGACAGTATGTCTTGTGCTAGTTTTTATATTAATGTATTCATGTAGAAAGAAATACTTTTCATGTAGAATGAGTGAATGGTTTGGGGAGATGCAGCCTCCTGGAGAAAAAGGAGTGAATAGTAACTATTTGGGGGAGCGAAAGTTTCAGGCTTCAGTGATAAGAAGGCAAAATCAAAGGTAATGAGGATGTAATTGTTCAGACACCAAGAAACAGACTCAAGTTCCCTGAGGATGAGTAGGGAGGAAGTACACAGTTACGCCTCTGGCCATGTAAAGAGCCAGAGGGACCATGGTATCTGCAGTACTGAGGTGATTGAAAACAGACCTGGCAACGAGTCCTGTACTGTTTAGTAACTTCTGCATTTTTTTGGACTGTTGTTTTGCTTCATGTTCTAATGAAGTTCAAGGTTAAAAGAATAAAAAGATTTAAGTTTGTCCTTCTTCACAGATGTGAGAAATTAAGGATCACATCATACTGTTAGATTAACAGTGCACGTAGTAGCTTATCTTTGATATATGACTTTTTTAAAAGACCTGCACAGAACAAAATAAAGTGCTTGGTTTTGGTAGTTACCCACAATTTATGTATTTATTTAGAAATATATAAATACATAGGAATGTATAGGTATTACTGCTTTCACGTCTTGTGTTATGTAGTGAGGCCATGGCTTCTTGTCTCAGGGGATTCACAGTCTAAGAAGAGCAGCAATTACTACAGTTAAGGTATTATGGATGACATCAATACTCTTCATCTGTCAAGTGGAAATCTTACGTTGTCTTCAAGCAGATGTGCCTTGTATTGCTGGTTATACAGAGACCAGTGACTTATTAAGATAAAAGCCCTTCCAATAATAATCTGATTCTTCCTGTATCTGGACAGTGTGGTGCAGTTGAAATTTATTCATGTGATACAATGAAATAGTGAATTTTTTCTCTATGCGGAGCTCTTCCATTGCACATGCACAGTTGCTTCAGAAAGCTGTAGTTACTTTCTGTTCGTTTCCTGTGGTGTCTGCAAAAGGTGCTGAAATTTCATGACACTGAATTCTCATTGTGTTTACTATATTACAGGAATTTTGAGTTTCTGAATTTAGTCTACAGAATCACAGAATGGGTTGGATTGGGAGGGACCTTCAGGATCATCCGGTTTCCAACTCCCTGCCACAGGCAGGGCACGTTCCACTAGGCCAGACTGCTCCAAGCCCTGTCCAACCTGGCCTTGAACACTGCTAGGGTTGGGGCATCCACAGCCTCTCTGGGCAACCTATGCCAGTGCCTCTCCACCATCACAGTAAAGAATTTCTTTCTAATATCTAATGTAAATCTCTCCTCTTTCAGTTTAAAGCCATTCCCCCTTGTCCTGCCACTACATGTCCCTGTAAAAAGTCCCTCTCCAGATTTCTTGTAGGCCCCCTTTAGGTATTGGAAGACTGATATATATATATGAGATATATGAGCCTTCTCATCTCCAGGCTGAACAAGCCCATCTCTCTCGGCGTGTCTCCATAGCAGAGGTGCTCCAGCCTTCTGATCATCTTTGTGGCCTCCTCTAGGTTTACTCCAACAGCTCCACATCCCTCTTGTGTTGGGTGCCCCAGAACTACACACAGTACTCCAGCTGGGGTCTCATGAGAGCAGAGGGGGAGAATCCCCTCCCTCGACCTGCTGGACACAGGGCTTCATCATGTCATTACAATAAACTTACACGCTTCTGCAGCAAAGGCTAACTCTTTATTTGCTTAGGAAATTACCATATGTATCTTTGGCTGTGTTTTAATAACAAAGCTTAACTGAATTTATTTCTAAAATACTGAAATAAATATTATATAAATAAACCTCTTCTATAGCTTGGATAGAATTTTAAGTACAGATTCAATTTCATATGTATTTGAAAGTGTTTGTGCTTTAAGGGTGAAATAATTTTACAAATAAATCTCGCATTCAGGAAGTCCTAGGATTTCTTAAATCTCATTAGTATTAAGGCTTTTTCATATTTAGGAAGTAGAAGCTTTGTTGTCTTGTAGCTTGGGAAATATGAAATGTGTTTATACATTTTCAGCTAAAGACACTAAAACCCACAACTCATCCAGAGGAAGCAGTCCTCTTGGGACTGTTACAGGTGTTACTGAAAGCTTTCTTGAAGATGGGCAATCAAGAGAATTAGATGAACTTCTGAAGAGTTTTGACGTGGATGAAAAGGTACTGAGAAATCATGTTTTCTGTTGCTAAGTAGTTTAGGAAATGATGGTCCATGTAGTTGGATAATTTTAATTACTGATGCTGGTTTATCAACAGAATTTTTAATTTCCTGTAAAAAAAGAATGTAGTGTTTCACAGCTTACTGTGCTATTGACAATGTAAGTTTTGCTTGACAGAACTTCGGTCACTAATTGTCACTAATAACCCATTTTCAAATTTGAAACACAACAAGATAGTTATATCAGTTATTGCAGCAACTCTGTATTACCAGTTGTATGAAAATTACTGTTCCAGAGAATACCTAAGAGTACTACTGTGCATATGTGACATCTTTACATAACATAACTAGTTTTAAAAGTTGGTGTTAAATGCTTCTCACCACACTGTCTCAGAAGGATGGCATGTTATTGGAAAGCTGGGGAGCTGCACAGCCATCATACATCCGAGGAGGATCATTCTGTGGTTCATTACTTGGGCAGAAAGACCATTACATTATCATATTGACTACTTGGTAGTTCAGAGGGAACATTAAACCATTTTCATGCTCAGTGACTTTATCTGACCTTTCTACTCTCTCTGTCTTCCTTCCTGTAGATGGTAAGTGTAGGTCTTTTATGACTTGAAGTTTTATGCTATTTACTACTTTTATAATGGATTGGAATTTACAGCTTGCTGCTACTCAGACATAGCTGCTGATAGCATTTACTTCTTTCCACTACTTCAAGAGTGAATAATGTTTTTAACTGGATAAGTTAAACTGTAAAAGCCACATGGCTAAAAACTGGTAAAAAATGGATAAGGTAATCAAACAGTAGGGAATCGGTTTCCCTGGCAAAATTGTTATTTAAAAGCAGAATAGAAACATTTCCTTCAACAAATGGAACTGGGGCTGCTGACATCTCATTCACAGTTAGTTTTGTTCCCTGACCTCTTAGGGAGAGTAAAAGGGTCTCTCAAATAGAATAGGTTACTGGAGTATCTAAGTGGAGTAACTAACTCCAGTTAGTGGAGTAAGTATAGCACTTATTGCAGGACCCCCAGGTCAGTCGCGGGGGCTGCTTCATAGAGTTTGTAAAATCAAATGTCGTAATCCTTTCTTTTCTGTGCTGTGTTGGGCAAAGGTAAAGAAGTACAACTAATATTACCCAAACCCCAAACTTTACCAAATTTAAGCCACGAAATATTAATACAGCCCTAAATCTATTCCTGTATGTGGACAGAAAACTAGCTTTCCAGATGTGAGGAGGGAGTGCAGTGGCAGAACACTTGTTGCAACTGTTCTACTGTTTGGGGTGATTCATGGGGCAGGTGATGTTTCTTTCCAGCTCACAATACTTTGAGAAGGACGAAAACTTAACCACTTAACTATAGAGAAAACCCTAAAAATATGTGGGGATCTCATAAACTGAATTTCGGAAATCCATTGAGAGCATGTCCATCTCTGATTATTTGGTTATCATAAATTTTGTGAAGTTCAAGTTACTTCATGTGTAACAGACAAAACAAAGCCAGGGTTCCATGACTTTGTTCTGTATCAGTCCTTTCAGATTCTCACACCCAAATATGTTAGATTCTGTCTTTTTTGTCCATATACTTGGTTTTTTTTTCCTATATGCTGTGGTACACAGCTGAGAAAAAGCCTTAGATTTGTCCTCAATACAGCTTTACACTTTCACTAAACTTGGTGGAATGTTTTTTGTGGGTTTCTACATCTGTCAGGCGCAGTTAAAATTGGGCAGTGGGCCTAAAATTGCTGGGACTACTGGTAGGAACAAAGAGAAGACAATTGTGTCACCTTTTTTCCAATTAAAAATCACTGTTTTAAAGATTACAAGGTATAAGGGCAGTGTTTTCACACCATTTACACCATATAATGGCAGTTTTACACCATTTTAAAAGATGGTGTAAGAGTAACTGCCATCCGAATTACAGTTTTTACAGTCAGGATTCTTATCATACTTTCCAATGATCACTAACAGGTTGAAATCTGTAGTGTAAAGTGTAAGAGGCTTCGTAGTGATTTGCTGTATCTGAAAGTGCATTTTATTCATAGTTCAGGTTTGCAGATGGAGTGCCTGATGTTAAAGAAGAAAAACAGGGTGAAGCTGGAAAAAGGTATATATACTGTGTTCTTCATGTAACCTGTGATACTCCCTAGTTACTGTACAAATGAAAAGTGATGTTTTTCCTGAAACACCATCAGCATTTTAATTCAGGTTTTCTGTATTATTGTGACTGTGATGAAAAAAATACGTATGTGAAACAATACAATTTCACTGTGCAAAGTACAAGACAAGTATAGCTGTAGCCTTACAGGACAATAGAGGTTATTTTGTCCTCCAGCTAGTGATAAAATATATCCACTTTATGCCAGTGTCTAGCTTTGTCATCTCAATGTGTGTAGCATAAGATGCATCTCCACCCACAACAGCACTTACCAGAACTCAGAAGTTTAAAAAAAAAAAAAATCAATTGAAACTTTCAGCTTTTTTTTTCCTGCGTCTTGGGACTCTCCCTAAACTAGTGAAAGAATTGAAAGATCTCATTCAAATTCAGGCTGACAGCAGTAGAAAAAGGCACTTAAAAACGTGGCACGTGGAGTCAAGCACGTGCTTTGCTGTTCTGCTAGCTTCAGGCTGTGCTTACAGTGTTTGTTGTATGTACAACTTGGAAGTGTCATGCTAAGAAACTTCATTCAACATCAGCCTTAAAAATGAAGCAGAATAGGACTTTGTAGAAAAAGTTACTTAAGTGATATAATTCTTAAGTAATGAGAAGAGAAATAACAGGTATTTCAGAGTCATTTTCACAATAATCGAGAAATCTCATCTGGTATAGAAGAGGGTATTGTTTTTTTCCAGCACCAGTTACATTTCAGTGACAGACTTGAAGTGTACCAGAATTTGGTTAAATAGAGAATATTGCATCTTTTCAGTAATCCACTAGAGAGCTCCAGGCTCCTCCTTCTGGTAAAATACCCATTTAAATTTACCACAGTAGCATAAATAGTTCTTTATACTGTAGGACTATGCTGGATAAAGTATGTGCAAGTAATACTGCATTACTTCCTTAGTTGAAATGCAGTGCAGCTAGAGAAGAGGCGTGCATTTATTCTTTCATTTGGAGTCAAACTGTTTTCTCTAGTTTGATTCAGAAAATGTTACCATTGCAAAGTTTCATTTAGAAGAAAATATAGTTACTGTTCTTATTCAGCAAACTCCACTTCTAATGACACTGTTACTTAAAAAAGGGAAGTTGATTGTAAAGCTATATAGTTTACAGTTCCTCACAAAATTGTGTGCAGTTTCTTGTCTAGATTAAAAAGACAGCTGAGATTGTTGTCCTGAAGGTAAGCTGCTATGAAAATCCTGTTGTGTCAGATCTGAGGCTGGCATCACAAGAAAGCAGAAAAAAATGTCATGGTGACTTGAAAACTGTGATTAACTAGATCTGCAGATCTAGTTTTCTGTTTTTCTTCCTCTGGAGACTTGTACGGTATGATAACTAAATGAAAAATAAATAATTTTGGTTTATTAGGTAGAATTTATTCTTCTCTGCTGTAGCATTTGTATTTGAAACTCTATTAAAACCAGCCTGCAATTTAGGAAAGATTTTGCCTATCCTGGCTTTGGGAAGTATTAAATAGGTAGCCCTAACGGGATAGCAAGGCAGTTTCTGTCTCCAAACAGTAAGTAGGCTGAAATGTCCTTTGTACTGAACCTAGATTCTTAATTAAAGGAGAAAGGGGAGGAGGATCTCATGAAAGCGGATTATTTTTTTCTGTAGCTTTATTTACAAATAAGAAAGAGATCACTAAGCATTTAGCTAGCAGTATTTTCAGCTTGTTTCAGAAAACTTCACATTTTAGTTGTTTAATTATCTGAAATGTACATATGTGGGAATAGTTGAAGGCAGAACAGAATTGCCTTTGAAATCACCTAAGTCTTCTGCCAAGTAGAGCCAGTTATTAGGAAAGAAAACAGTTGACTCTTCAAATGTAATTTCAAAAGCTTTGTGGATTACTTTGACAGGTATTACATAACAGGCTGCTGAAAAGTAGATGCTTCTTCAGAGGTGACAGAAATCATCTTAGTCTTGCTGTCAGCACAGTGAAAAAAAAATCAGAAGTTGTTCACGGGTATCTTTTCTCCTTATGTATTGAATTTCATATAGTTCCACTTAAAGACATAATAATCTCAGCCAAGATCATAATCGGATTGGACCCGGCAATGAGACTAGTGAAAGGAAAGTTGTTGATACTGCTACTGTTTAAATTTACATCAAGTTTTGAAGTGTTGTGTCAATTGTTGAAGGAATTCTCAATTTTTATGTGCTTATTCCTCCTTTTTTTAGCTTTTTTAGTACATGGGAGAAGTACCTACTTGATTTGGCTAAACAGATTTTTGTTTTTCAATACTCAGCAGTGACTGTAAATACAGAGACCTTGTGAACTGTGGATTGCTATCAGGATTGCCACTGCCTGCCCAGAAAATAAATGTCCTCAGTGAAACTACAGAGATGGAAGCCCAGACAAATGGTATCTTATGCTGCTTTGGTGAACCTTCCAGAATTTTTTTTTTTATGTGTGTTTTATTTACCTATAAAATCTTAAGGAATTTCTTCAGTTCCTGAAGGTACTGGCTGGAGTTTATTTTAGTTTCCATACATAGAAGCAGAAATGCAAGCTCTCACATGAGAGGTTAGTCAGGTTTTTTGGGTTGGATTGGGATTTTTAGCAGGATCCTATTTGGTAGGGTCAAATAGCAGTCATTCTCTGTTGGTATTCATGGTTCTCTGACACTTGAATGGTACAGGGAACATGACTGCAGATTTTCTTGATTGGTTGCTATCTGTAGGCAAAACTTGGTTAAGGGATTTGCCCAGCTTGCCAAAGGTCAGAACTTTGCTGTTTATGCCAATTCAAATGTTTGCAAGACATTCACTAGTCTGGATCAAGGAAATGATCCTAGATTTAATAAGCAGTACTTAATTTCAACCTGGAATATTTCACACCTGGGACAGGTACTTCTTAAAAGTGTGCCTGCCACCAGAGAAATAATAATGTAATGGAACTGTAGTCAAAGTTTCCTTCTCTTTTTCTCTGCACAGAATAACTCTTAATGTTAAGCCTTACATAAAAGCATAGTTTCATTTGGTGTACAAGATAGAGAAAAACAGGAATTGATTGCTTATGTATAGATACTACATTCTGTTTCTTTGCAACAGCTGTTTTGGGAATTAATGTTTTTAGAATTACTGGTTAACACGAATGTTTGTAAACATGGATTTCCAGAAATGAGCCCACTGGCAGAGGCTCTTGCTTAGTTTCAAATTATACTTCCAGTATGAGCTTGTAAAACGACTATATCACTATGTCTAACAATATTTTCAAGAAACGCAAGAAACATAGATGCTGTAAAAAGCAACTGTGAAATATGTCTCTAGACTGTAGTAGTTTGAAGTTGCTCATGTCTTTGGCCTTAAAAGTGTATACACCTTATGAAGAGTTCTTCTAAACCTTCCTTCTTAAAATCATTTTAAACTGTTGCCAAAGCAAGAGTTTCTGTGCTAGGAGAGGGTAAAACAACCTTTTTCCCCTTAGAACTGTGCAGGCAGGATTGGCCTAGTTCACTTCAGTGCCTGCTTCCCTACAAATTTGACGTACAGTTGGCAGGGAGAGTACAAACTTGAAAAGACCTGGTCGTAAACTCTCTGCCGTGAAGATGGCAAGAATCTGAAGGAAAGACCTCTAAGATCAAGTTCCCAGTAGCTTTGTTCTGCAGCTAGTGACTGACTCTATCCTGGGTCTTTTGCCTGTCACTAAATTCATCCAATCCTGAATTTACCAAGTTGCCCACCATCACTGCACAGAGTTACAAAGCTGTGAGAGAACATGACATTCAGATATTTAATTGTTTTACATTATATTTCTCCTTCCTATACTGTGAAAGCCTCCCTCTTTAGAAAGACATGCAGATTGAGAACCATGTACCTAGTGCAAGTCTGTAGTACAACATGCGCTATCATTGGATGATCTTTAGTAACTGTAGTTTGTCAGAAAGGGCTAAGCACACCCTGCCTTTTGAATAGCCTCTTCTTTGAAGGGACCAGATGGAAACCCTAGAAAGCAAGGCATTCAGAAGCTCTTGTTTCTCTTTAGATGTGGAGTTGAAAATATGAACTTTTATCTTCCATTAACACTATTTATTTTTTCAGAGAAAGAGATCTGTTATCAATAATAGTTCTAAAAACAAGTTTTACAGTTAAGAAGCCAGTAACTTATATTGGTCTTAAGCTTGATACTGTGCTGTTTAAAACATAGAGTATGAAAGATTTTATTTCAGTTTTGGAAAAGTAGTTTATGGCTAGTGATGTGGGAATGCAAAGATGACTGATAAAGTGGGTTTGGTTGTGTTTTTTTCTCCTTTTCAAATTAAAACTTTTGGATATTTTAATTCAGTTTATTTCCTTCTCTCTGTAAATTAGATTAAAACCCTGGATAAAGATGCAAAGTTTTTAATTTAAATGTGTTTACTCTTGAAGTTTGTGTAAAGTCTCGATTTTAGGATAATTAAGAAAACTGTAACAAATGACTGGCTTTGGATTGTATTAATCAGATTTTCTTTAATCATTGCTGTGATTTGAACAAACTATAAATATAAGGGAAATACAGATAAATGAGAGTGCTTTCAGTATGATTTATTTTATTGCATGATCCATTTATTGCCCTCATCATAATTTTTAGATTACAGATTTTCAGGAAAAAGTCTTTTACTGCCATTGCAAAATCCTGGAGATTTTGAGACATGGAAGGTGGAAAAAAATGCAATTGTGAGTTGTTAAATCCTTAATGATCTCTGATCCTCTGGCACTAATTTTGTTACGGATATTCAGACAACTCTCCATGTGTCTAGTCAGAAATCACGAATCTATGTAAGTTTACGTTTCTACTCCTCTAAAGACATTAACACTGAGTAAGTACAGTTTCTGAGAGCAAAATCAACGATGAGGGGACAGCTATTCACAATTGAGCTTTGTAGATTTATACTTCCAACTTAAGCAGAATCAGATAATGCTTTTTTGGCTTGTTTTTTGTAGAACTGAAAAGCAGACAAGGTTTATCATGTTTCAGACAGACTGCATTATCCATTATGCTGGGCACTGAAAAATGATGAAGGAAGTTGATGCCCCAGAATCCTCAGACTCTTATCCAGAGCCATGCAGGAGTTTGTCAGGTTTCTTCATCCTCTCTACTCTGTCTCATTTGGCAGTTCTTGCATTCTCTCTGTGGTCTTCAAGACAGATTTTTGTTGTATTAGACACTAACTAACATGTGACAAAGGGCGGATCTTGGTCTGCTTTGAAATGCTGCAAATACAGTATAGAGATGAGGGTTGCTTCAAAGGTTTAGTTGTAGATCACACATTTTTTGCTTTTGTTTGTAATTTGTAGCTATTTTGAAATTCTCAAGAAAATCTGTGTGTTTGCTTTCAAAAAAAATATTGTTTGTGGTTTTTATTCTGCTTGTTTTATTTTAGGCTTCTCATTCAGTCCAGCAGATCCTCGAGATGATTGAATTGCCCCGTAAATATTGCAGATTTTATTTCATGACTTTGCGGGGCTGTGAAAGAGCAAAATGTTGGTTTTGGCATGTTCCTGAACACGGAGATGAAAAGGTAAAGAGCTTCATAGAAGAAAAGACAGATTGTAAGCATGGACACTTCTAAATGTAAAACAAAATCTCTTTTGTTCATTTATAAGCGGAAAGGGAACAAATTTCAGAGATTGATGTATCAAAAAATCAGAAATTCTTCCTCTCAAGTCTTGTGAAGTTTTGGTTTTTGGTCTTGTGGAGTTTTTGTTTGGTGGTTGTTTTTTTGGGGTTTGTTTTTTTTTTAAGGTAGAATTTTGAACTTGTAGTCTTTTTAAGAAAACAGTGAAAGAGTAAGTATCAGGCTGTACAAATACAGAGTCGTAGAATGGGGAGATTATGAGACATTTCTGCATTGGACACCTGTAAGCAAACTCAGACTTTGTATGTATTGTTAAAGTCAAAAAACATCTATGGTATGTTACTTTCTGCAAGTAAATAAACAGCAGCATGTTTGTTTAAAGATGCTGTAATCTCCTTAAATGTAGCAATAATTCTCATATTTACAAGCAAAAATATTTTTCCAGAGGTGGTCAAAGTAGGTGTGTTTTCAAACCATTTAACAAAGAAAATACGACTCTCTAATACTTAGAACTGTGTAAGACAAGCTAATTGTGCTGTCATGTAAGATTTTGGCTGTATGAAACCAAGACTTAGGTGTTTCTGTAAATCACTCAGAAGTAATAAAACAACTAAACAAAACTAGATGCCTAAGCTTGTCCTGATCAGGTCTTTCAAGATTTATTTCTCATCTACCATCTTACTGATACAAGTACAGTTTTATCATTGGTGTCAGTAAGTAAAAACACAATCAAAACATAAAAAAAATAAGTTGTCATGAACCTGTTAGACATAAATAATTTTAAAAAGGAGCTTACCCATGTCCTTGAGATCTTAAATATACTGTGTCAAATTTTAAAATACATCATAATATATTAAAATATAAATTTGGTTTTATTTTTCTGAGGTTTTTTTTTTTTTTTTGCTTTTTAAATCTCAAAAAAGAGATGTTTTTCTAGTGCTTTGTAACCCCTTTGAAAATTTGTATGATGGATTAAAAATACTAAGCTCATTTAACAGTAATTCTGTATGGGACATTTTCCCTTTTACTCAGTTGTGAAGGCTATAGAGAATATAATTAATTTTCAGCTAGTTTGTATGAATTATGATGATTCATTATATACAGGCACATTAAGAAAGTATATGCCTAAAACTATTAAAAATCTCTTCCATTTTATTTTACTTGTGGTGCAGCACTCCAGCACACTTACTTTTCTGCCCACCAAACCCAGCCTGACTTTCCTGGTAGTCTCAAAGTCTACTTCAGGGTGGGTTTATTTTGTTTGTTTTTAGAATTGTCCATTTAAAAACTGTAGTAGGCCAAGCACCTCATGGTGGCACCAAAGTACATAAATGGAAGACAGGTAAAGCAGCAACAACATCTTCATCAACTGCAGGGGAAACAAATCTCTTTAGGAACTGTTACGCAACCCACTTCCTTAGTACAGCGTTTTCACTGATGATTGTTACAGGAATTTCCAGAGAGAAGTACCTTTCCCCGTAATGGATACTCCTTCCTTTTCATTAAGCAACGGTTTGATGTTTTAAGGCATAACTTACTAGAGTTTCACTGTTCACAGTTGTGGCTGATCATGCAACACAGCAGTGATTTCATTCATAAAAATGTATGTTTTGAAAGTCATCACACTCTTGAGCTCAGCAAGTTATACAAGTTACCATGTTTTTGGGGCTTTTTTTAAGATATCTTTAATTTCAAACAGTGAAATCTCTTTTATATTAGGCAAAGTAAACCAAACTAATAAGGCTGTGTTTTAAGTACTCCACAAATTATTTAAAGGGGAGGATCTTAATGATGTGTATCAGTATCAGATAGGGGCGAGGGAGGTAAATAAGATGAAACCAGGCTCTTGTCAGTGGGGCCCAGTCAAAGCGTAAGAGGCAGTGGGCATAAATTGAAAAGATAGGAAATGCAATTTGGCTTGAATGATACTTCAGACTGTAGCATAGATAATTGTGCAGTTGCATAAGTGGTTTGAAAACAAATCTTCATGCGAACTGTATTTCTTGGATTTTATTTTAGCTTTGTGTACCTTGCTCATTAACCTTTTTGGACTCATAGCCACAAAAAGAAATGTTTACTTTTTGTGACTTCTTGAACCTCTAACTGGAAACAGGATATAAAATAAGAAGATATGTGTCTTCATTAATGTCGTCTTGCAACTTCAGGGTCTTGGGTGTATGCTTCTATTGTGGTTTGGTTTTTTTTTTTTGTTTGGGTTTTGGGTATTGGGGGGGGGGGGCTTTGTTTTGAGGGATTTTTTTTGTTTGTGTGATTTGGTTTTGATTTTTTTAATCTGGCTTCCTAAAGAAATGAGCCCTAAAAGTTGCACTATCCTGTTATTACTGTCTCTAACTGCCTTTAAATAGTTTTTTAACCTGTTGGTTAGTTTCAGCCACATTTAACATGGAGTGTGTGTCTCAAAGATGCCACAGGATTCTTAAACAGAATCTCTTGTAAAAAGGATCCTGGTTTTGATCTCATTAAGCAAAAGGCTGCAGCATGGGGGTTCTACCCCTTATTAAACATTAAGAGTGCAAACTGGGGAATGCTGAAGGACTTCATAAATTCTTGTGCTTGTTTTTCTGATTTTAAGCACCTTTGTGTTACTGCAGTAGAACTGTTTTACTGGGTAGTCAGCTGCTTGTAAAAGATAAACGGCCCTCTATTGCTTTTTATTAAATTGTCATGTAAATGAGTTGTGGAATCAACTTACAAGTGACAGAATAATGTCATCTATACCACCTTTTGAAAATAGGAATTGTCTCTTTTATGTACTTTAATTTGAAATCTGTTAGAGATTCTCGCATTTTTACATGATCTGTAGGTTCGTTACACCTTTTAAAATTGAAACAACTAAATCAACGGAAGCCTAGAGAAGCTGTAAATGTATAACACATTTACTTTCTTTTATAAATGTAATGTAACATGTCCCATGATTAAATATTACTGCAACTGGATTTTCCAAGCAATTTCGCTAATACTTGGAACAGTCAGAGCTCCAGATGCAATCTTAGATTTTTTTGGGGAGTCAGTCCAAAGAAGGAGGAAAACACATTGCAGAAGAAAGCAAACTAATTTACATACTGTAAGCATGTGCTAAAGCTTATTTTGGAAATGCCCTTAGCCACCTGGGATTGTAGGTTTGGATTAAATGAGCTAATTCACTGCGAAGTGACACTTCATCTGCATTAATGATGATTTTCCGAAAGGTATATCTTAAATGATAGTTCAACAACATGATGTTTCAAAATGAAAACAGTAAGCTTTATTTATATTCAACATACTTACGTATATGGTCTTCCTGTTCTTTGACTTGATGATCTGAATAGGTTAATGAGTTTAAAAAAGGAAAGATGTCTTGGCCACAAGCCAGTATCTTCTGCTTTGATGATAATTCATTTGCTATGTAAGAAACATAGTTCTGAGTTTTTTCTTTTATGTCCTTATGAGTAATTCTTTGTGACTGTCAGTGTTACCAGCTTCACTTCTAGATGATTCTTTGATTTCTTAGTTGGTACATTAATGTAATTTTTGTTTATCCCATTTTCACCTTTTTGCTTCCCTTTCTCTCACTGTTAACAGTATGTCACATCTATGCTAATTCCAAAGTAACTGTTTTCTAATTCATTTTTTTGTTTGCTGTGAGTATATACAAAAACAGACACACAAGCATTTGTCTCAGCAGCTCCTTTTTCAAACATTTCATCTACCTTATGTCCTTTTAACAGTGCCTTTGCCTACAGGCTCAATTACTTTCTTGCACCGTTTGTCAGCATGTGTGGGTTAAACAGAAGCAATGTGAAGTTTGTTTCCATATAGGTCTCATGGTTGTGAGTAGTTCTTTGTTTGGCATGAACTGAAGTAACATTTTACTGTGGATTTTTTCCCCCTTTTTCTAGGTTTGCATGACAATACTTAGAACATACATTACTATCAAAGAATCGGGCCTTCTAAAACGTGCAGGTACGATGTAGTAGCTTTTGATGTATCTTTAATACTTAGATTATTTAAAGCGAATTAAATAGGCTCTCAACAGAGAGTAAGAAATGCTGATTTTGAAGGAATATATTCAATCCACATGTTCTCTTGTTCCAGTTGCTCATTGAAGCTAGGTATTTAGATACACAGTTATCTTGTGAGGTCCTTGTAAATCTTACATCCACAGAAAATTAATTTAGCCTGAATGAATTAGACTTGAGAGCAGAAATGAGCAACTGGGGAAGAGGGGAGGTTTAACAGAACAAAGTTTTGTTAAGGTGCCTTTGAACACCCTGGCAAAACATTACAGGTCCAAAAACTTTGGAATTAAGCTCTTGAAATGAAGTGCACCCAAACGGCTTTAGTTTAGTCCTTTCACATTACCTTACATGCAAACAACTATGATTAACACATTTTAGAGACTCAGATCCATCTGAGCTTTTGAGTTCAGTCACAAAGGACTGAATTTCAGTCTGGTCTGTCATTCCTTTTGTACCTGTCCTAAGCAGTCTTAAGTTTATGAAAGCTTATTAGAGCATAGCACAATGGGAACGTGGGATCCAGTCACACCCTGTGTAGTATGTTCCCATGCTGAAATACTGAGCATTGTAAATGCAAATAACACTGGGTACCAGCAGGCTACACAGTATGTCTCTACCAAGGCTAGGACTGGAACAGATTGTAAGACCATCCACTGTGATAACACTGCACTTCACTTTCTAAAACTTCATGTCTGGAAAGGCCTTACTACCTTGATGCACTTACCAAATCTGACCTGGTCTTGTGCATTTTTCTGGTGCTGCACCAAATATCTGAGCTTTCTTGAAACTTAAAGGGCTTGTGGTGTTCAACTCAGTGACATGAAATGTTTCAGAATAGTCAGTCTGGGTCTAGCAAGGTTAACATTGTATTCAAACTGGATTCTTTTCACCCATTTTTCTCCCTATCCCATAATATCCTATATAATAAAGGGTTGTTACAGTGAATTTAAAATTTAAGGAAATAACTTGTTTGAATAGTTAGTGTCAGTTTACCTCAAAATGAAATTAATTTAATTGCTTTTTCAGTCCAGATATTTGTGAAATATTACAGAGAAGTTACTCCTGGTGTGTATTTTGCTTCTGAAGTGCTGAATGATCTTCTGGTTTCTCTACTCAAGAAATGTTTGTTGCATGAAGTATTTCAGATATTGAATGTAACTGTACAAATCAGTACACCGGTAGGTGACCTTACACAAATCTGTAAAAATATTTATATTGTATATGTAATATAAAAAAATTACATTTTTTTAAACCCCTGATCCATCGTTTCTTAGTTTTTTGAGTACTGTGCCACTTGTAGTAATAAGTTTGATTTTACTCTGATACTCGAATCTTGGGGAGGGTAAAAAGAGCAATTAAAAAAATATATATTATAAAAACTCTAAGCTTTCTAATTGAACAGAGTTGTAAAACTGATTGTGCTCTTCTGTCTGAATTAGCCGGCTGTAGATGTTCTTCTGAAAGTTTTTGAGCACGTGGCTTCTTTGAATATGAGAGACGCTGTGCCTACGTTAATCAGTACCTTTTGTAAGGTATGAGTTTGGAATTTCTGAAATAACTTTGCTTGTTTTAAAATTCAACCATGTCACTTCAATATTATTTCAGTACTTTTTTTTTTTTTTAGTTACATTATGACTAGCTGAATTTGTGGTGCGTGCTTCTACCTTATTTTTTGACTGAGATTCAATCACATGTTTTTTCCACCATTATTTGCCACTTGCCTCTTGAAATATGTGTCACAGTTCTTTGTATGCCTACTTTTCTTCCCCCTCTTTGCTATTACAGCTCATTGGTGCTGGTATGTTCCTTGAGTCTGCACATTTTGACTGTATTATTAAGTTCCTTCACCAATTGAAAGTTTCCAGTCAGGAACTAAATACTGTTTTGAACATAAAATCCAGGTATGTCTTTAAGGAACTACTTTATATCTGTCTAGTTCCTTCTTTAGGTTCTATTTTTATAAATTCATGTATGCCTTTAAAAGGCAATTAGAAAATGCAAATGAGTGTTTCAGGTGAAAATACTGTCATATCATGTGCAATTGTATTTTAAAGTGCTGTCAGTTTACTGTGCTTCAAAGATCAAGGATTATTAAGTCAAAACTTAGATTCTGACCACAGTTTTGATTAGTTTTTTCCATACTGATAATCACTGTATAATCTGTTCACAGCCCAAATCTCTTCCAAAACTGTTGATGTTGGTATCTCCCCATCACCTGCACAAGATTTGTCTTTTTCTCATTATCTGCATCATACATTCACACACAAGCTGAGAAACTAAATTTGACATTCATAAAGCAGCCTCTGATTCTTAGAGGAAACCAAATACGCAGCATCTGTTGTGTGAAAACAAGCCATCACTGTTTCATTTGAAAGCATTGTAGAAATTATTTGGTGCTCTTCATACTTTTGCCATAGTTTCAGACATGGATCTCACCATGCAACTTACCATGCATGTTGGAGGTAATTTTTATCACTTTTTGGATCAAAAATCTCATTCACAGAGGAATGACCCCCTTTCCAGGTTGCCTCAAGTATGTGCGTGTTTTCAGCACAGACTGAGAAACAGTCTGTATCTGTGAAGACTGAGCAGCTGTGCTGCTTCAGCTACATGTGTTAGCTCATTCATATGTAGGTTATGTATCTCTACATGATAGCGTTGCACCAGGTAGATGTATTCATTCAGTGGTGGCAGCAGAACAAAGTATCATGCTCCCAGGTATTTGAAGATGTATAGCATTTTCTTTTATGTAATTAATTTTTTTTACCTGTATGTCAGAAATACATACAATCCAATTCTGCATTTACTTAAGTGGAGTGAAAGTCTTATTGATACCTTCTCAGTTAACCTTTCTACTGAGACTGGCTTCCTTTGCATGATTGCAGATGTCTGTTTTCAGTATCTAGTTTGCATAGTGTGTAGTAAATAGGATCAAAATTCACATCAGTTTTTAGTTCATAATGATAATTTGCTGATAGCCTCCTGCTAGTGCATAGTTTTGTTCAATAGGATGTGTTAAGTATTAATATTTTTTTCTTACAGAAGATTTCAGGAGAGACATTTTGAAAAGAACTGGGTTTTTGACTTCAGCTTGGCAGTGGCTGAAATTCAGGTACAGTGCGTGCATTCTTCAAGTTTGTTGAAATGCTTAAACAGTGTCTTCTTTAAAACCTACAAAAATAGCAATTTCTACATAATTTTAAATGAGTGGGCTTTATTATTAAGTATCTTGAGATTTTAATAAAATATTTTTATGCAAAGCCATGTTTGGGAAAGATTAACATGCAGGGGAAAAACTGGCTTTTTTTGTGGTGCCAGTATTCTGGTTTACATACTTGCAGTTTTTATCTTGGTTTTGTATGTAATTGAAAGATTTTGTAACTTTAAACAATTGTTTTCTATGCCTTTTGTTTGTTGTGTTTGTAATTGGAAGTAGTACATCATTCCTCACCAAACAAATACTGAATATATTATTTACTAGACAGAATTCATATCTAGTTTAAAAAGGCACAATTGTAAAAGGCTGTAATTGGAAATACTAAGCAGGTATTTTAAAGAATAAGTGTCATTAAAAATTCTTGGAGGCTTACATCTTTCATTTTCAAGGGCAGATGACTTACACTGCACAATTATAATATTTTACATATTACAAGTTTACACATTACCACACTTACTACACAGATCCTGAGATGAAAATTTAAGAAGGGAAGAACGAGGACTGATTTATTTTTTTACTCCTTTAACATCACAATCATGAAGTGATCTGACAAGCAAAAGACTAATTCATAACGAAAATAACCATCAACTTGGCATGCATTGTGAAAAAAAACAAAACCCAGTAAAATACTGGATGAATGACAGTTTGTAAATGGATGAATAAGTTATGAGCTTCCCTAGTTGTGGTATAAATGGAAAAAGAATTTTAATTTCTGGAGTGACAAAACGTGATTAGCAGTCCATGCTAGATAGGAAACGTAACTGTGCCGTATTGAACATGGAGGTTCTTGGCAGTAGCATTTCATCAGCATCTTTTTTCTGCTTTAAGTCTATCCCAGGTGCATCTCTCATATTTCAGTATGTTCTCTGTTCAGTGTTCTGGAAGCAGGTTGACTTATATTTACCCCTTGCCGCCTTTGCAGCACTGCAAGGAAAAAAAAGACTGGGTCAAGCTGGGAGCTTTGTTTGTCAATGCAAGAACTGGCTGTGAACATTCTGATGATCTTCAGAAATTGTCGTTATGTATTGCTGAAATACTAACCAAAGACTCTGAGACAGACCGACTAGAAGTTCCTTTTTGTGACTTTGCTGATGCAGGTAAAATTAAGATGCAAGAAACGCGTTTTGTTCTTCCCTATTCTTTGTAGAGTGTTTAAAGTGATAAAGAAACAAATTCATAAACTGATTATTAGTTAATTTTATATGTTACAATATTAAGAATTTCTTGAGGAGCAAATACAACCAGCCAGAATGCTCAATAGAAGCCATTTTCTAGTAGAAGTAAAATCCACAGTGCTTACATTTAAAGGAAGTTCTGAATGAAGAGCATTTGAGCTTTGTGAAATCAAGAAGAGAAACCAGTATTGGTGGTCTTTTAATAGGACCAAAATTGGTGGTCTTTCAGTCATGTTGTTTGCTGAGGACAAAGGCAAATGTATTTAAGTATTGTCATGTGAAGCATCACACTCTTAATAGCATAAATAAACTTTACAGCTGTAAATAAGGCTGTATTAGTGTATTTCAAAACACACTGAACAGGGTTACATCAGGTATATTATTTGTACTTTTTTCTTCTTTAAATTTTTTTTTTAAATACGGATTTTCAGAATTATTTCATTCTCTAAAGAACCAAGAATTTATGTGAGGGCTGGGAACACAACACCTTCTAGTTTTCTTAGAGTTCTTGCACGTTTTCTCACCCCTTTCCACCCTATGCCCCTTCATTTACATAACTGTATCCTTCTTCCTAAGGAGTTTCCAGAAAACCGAGGCTCAGCAAAGTGTCATTGGGATATTAAAAGCATTTTATAATTAATGTCTCGGATCTTTTTCAATCTGTATTAACTACTAAAACAAGATGAATATTTATTCCAGATATGTAACATGACCTTTCTGACCACAGACTTCGATATTATAGAACGGCTATCAGAGCTTTCAGTTGTGACACAGTGTATTAAGTACATTATAAAGTAGACACAAAAATAGAAATTAAAAATAAGAGATAATATGAAATAAACAGTACTTTTAAAAATATTTTTGTTTTTTAATGGTACAAAAATATATTTTCTTCCCACACCCAGATGGATTGTTGAGCTCATGCCCTACTTTGGAGACCACTGCTCTAGAATGCCAACAGTGCTTCCAAAGTGGTTGTGTAATATGGTTGGAAAAACTTGTAATTAGTCAGTTCTGTAATTGCCAGCGTTTCTTCATGGTCCCAGAAAATGCAAAGCTTACTGTACAAATAATGATATTACTAAATTATGCCATTACATGTCCAAGCATCTCATGGATTAATTACTGTGAAATAGTGTCTGAATAAATTGTAATTATTTACCCTACTTTCCATGTTGAGACTTAGGAAGTTACTACTTTTAATGGCAAATATGTTTAATTATTATTTAATGTTTAATTAATATTAAAATTAATAATTACAGTGTTTCTCAAGTGTGCAGTCTCTTTAAAATTGCATTTGCATGTACCATTTTTTTAATGTGGTGTTGTTTCTCTTTTTAGTAGCAAAAAATTCACAACATAATGAAGCAGACAGAATTTTCACTGGAAGGATTGGGATAAGTGTAATGTATTCTTATCACAAAGTACTCCAGTGGATAAAGGTATACTGGACTATAGGAACCTGACTGGAAGAAAAAGAATGAGTCATTTCTAGATTTTCATCTAGATAGTCATGAGTCTTTCTATATGTTAAACTGTATTTCTTTAGTTGAATGGTTGGATGTGCTACCTGCCTCCCCACCATCTTAATACTTCTTAATTGTCCAGCTGGACCAAAGCATTTCATTGTGTCTTTCTGAGCATTAACCTTCTGTGGAGCCCATCAGAACTTTGTCTTGCAACCTAGAAGCTTGATTGTTCAGGTTCAGGTTTTGACTTTCGTTTGGATACTGATGCTTGTAAATCTGTATCACCAAATTAAATCTGCTGTATTTCATGTAAATATACTCTGCGTCCACTGATATTGCTTCCTCTGACCTTCCCCCTTTCCCATCTCCCTCTTATGCTAGGGAAGGAAGGTTTTGGATAAGTTGCATGAGCTACAGATACATTTTACAGTCTTGAAAGGACTCATAGGTGCAGAGAAGTTAGCTTCAAGATGCCAAATTGTTAATAAAGCTGCAGAAATTTATCTTAAAACAGGAAGTTTGAATGGAGCAACATGGGTATTGAGAGGTAAGTTTGCCTTAAAACAAACTGAATTTTGACTTAGATTTGATCACTCTCCTAGGACAAATTTCAGATGAAAATTATAAGCTGCTCTGTGAGGTTTTTTTTAAATAAAGTTAATAATACTGGGACAGCAAAAATAAAATGTGATCCATTTAACTGCTTAGTTTTCTTCTTAATATGTATAAAAAATATTATAACACTAAATCTCTTTCAGAAAAGTTGTCACAGTAGTCTGCCATCAACACCATTCTACTCAAAAGCCTACTGTAGTAAGGGAGGGCTGCAGCTTGGAAAGTGACCCTGCCCCAAGTAGATTGCCTTTGAGCCAGGTGACATTCAGTGTCAAAAAATGTTTAGGATTGAGTCAGTGCAGTGTTCCTTTACACCTCACAGTATCCTGTTTAGTAAAATAGCTTTACAGTAGTCCAATATTTCTGCAATTAAATGATGCATAATTAAAGGCTTCTTGGAACTCTGATTTGCTGAAAAGGGATGAAACACGAAATATAAACAAGAATAGGAAATACAAACTAGTAAAAGGTGTTCTGTAGAGTAATACTGATGATCTAAATTTGCTGTTCAGTTTTATATAGATACTTATATACACATATATGCCACTGGCAGTCCATTTTAATTTTGTGGTATTTAATAAAAGGGGTTATATATAATGTAAAGGTTCAGAGAATCCGTCTGAGAAGTAACAGTGATAAGGAACACATTATTCATAACTAGAACTGCGTTTTCTGTGAAATTCTGCAACTTGTTTTCTGCTGCAGTTTACAGTATATTCTTAATGGCCAAAAGTCTCACCATCCAACAGTTTCAGTTCATAGAATTAACACTGCACCATTGTTTGCCACAGAATCGGAGTGGGTCACAAATACACCATTGTGGCCCTGTGATAAAATGGACATCCTCAGTCGACATAATCTGTTATGTACACTAGTGCACAAATACTTGAGGAAGAGTTTATACAGGCAGGCATTGGAAGTTCTACAGAACTTACCAGGTTTTCAAAATCATTCTGGTAAGTAAAGAAAAAGGTACTGTGTTAAGAGCTAAAAATTCAGCAGATGATTCTGTACTGTTCTTTTTGTTTGTTTTCAGCCTAAAATTTGTTGGAGAAGAAAGACAGTTTTAGAGGCAGACCCCCCCCTTTCCCCCTCCTCCCAAAGCATGTAGTGTCAGTTAAATATGTATAGTATTTTGCACCTCTTGCTGCACACGCACATACACAGTTTATACACCTGAACACTTTTTCCAATTGGCTTAGTTACACAAGGTAAAAGGAAAGACCCACTAAATTTTTAAGGATCATACACAGTCTATACAATAAGATAAAAGAGGGATATCATTCAGGCATTGTTTTTTTATATAACTTAGCTAGCTAGCCTAAGCTGCTTTTACATACCATGTTAAGGACTGAGTACTGTTCTGGGCTCAATTTATCTAACAAGTTTTTGATGTGTACTTCAAGGTGAGATGTGTAGTTACTTGAGGCTCCACTAAGGAAACCTGAGCTGATTCCTGTGAGCAGGTCTCAGTGCTATTGCTAGTGTGTGCTTTTAGGTATATTAGGAGAGCTTAGTTGGAAGGCCATCTGCTCAGAGTATCCTAAAAGGATATAGGCGTTTGAGGCATCAGGTGGATGCAAGGCTCCTCAGTCCTGCCAAGAAGGGGAAGTGAACAATTCAGACTAAGAGAAACAGAACTTGAAGCACCAAAGCTGTTTCTGTTGGTGCAGATTTTACGTCTGAGAAGATCAGGTGAAGATTGTATTTATAGGCTTGGCAAGTGAATATATTTATATCTGATCCTGTTGGTTTTGGCAGCAAATTATTACTTGGACCTTAGCACTTCTCTTCCACAATGTGAATGGACTTTATGAAAAGACTTTTGATGAGTAAACCATTATCATAGGTTACCTCAGCCTTGTTCCATTTTACAGATAGAAGCAAGAGTCTTCATGTAGGTACTGATGAGAAATGTTTCTTCAATTAGATTTGCATTTGACATAATTCATAATCTCCATTTCATTTCAGATACTGTAGATGCTTCTCAGTACAGCTGCCTTTTTAACAAGCTTATAAGTGCCTGTTTTGAGAGCAAGAACCTTGGGGTCTCATCTTCTGCAGTAGACTTCATGCTTTCAAAAAACATAGCTATTGATTTTTTTTTACTTAGACAATTAATTACAGCTTTGGGAAGAAGTTCTTTGTGGTCTAAAGCTAGGACCTATTACAAAAGTAAGTTGCTTCTTAAACAATATCCTTTGCTCAGTATGTTGGGGGGAAATGGGCAAGAGTATACTTCATAAGAAAAAGGTACTTTCTGTGTTATGAGCAGGTATTTAAAATGTTTATTGGGAAATAATAACTGTTGAAAATACAAATCAGTGCATACCGCCTGGCATGAAATAAATGTAATTCTGATAAAATTAAATTTTTACATTTCATTTCAGAATTTAAAAAAGAAAAAAGTGACCCTTGAAATGGTTAGAAAGTGCATCATCTTTGTCATCTAGGCAAATCAGATTGCTTTATACTTCTCTTTAGAGCTGTGGTGGTAAAATAATTTATGATCTGAGAGGTCTGGCAAAGAAATTTATCCTAACTAAAAGAAAATCCCTTTCCACTAAAAGTCTGTTTTCAACTCCCCATTTCTGTGCTAAGATTATACTGGGTGTGCCACCTTGATAGGGTCCACCATGAGCCATCTCTCCGTATTGTCACAGTATTTACTGTTTCATTCTGCCTTGGAATTGTGGTGGTTAGCAGGCTGCTCAAGGAGTCCAGCCCTCCTGGGATACTTAGCTTTGTTAACATTGAAATTATTTTTTTTCCTTTTCTTTGGGGGTTTTGGGGATGGCAGTTGGTTGGGGTTTGTTTTTTTTTCCTGAAGTGTTATATAGGTTAGGTCTCTGGAGTCACTTGGCAGAAGACGGGAGTAAAGGGGGCAGTGCTCTTCAAATGTTTTCTCACTGTGATCATAGTTAATACAGCTTCTGTCTGACTTGTCCTAAATTGTACTTGCGTTATTATGCACTTGGAGTCTCCAGATTTCTGACAGAGGTTTTTAATCATCACTGATAATATTAATTGATAAAACTAACATTTTATCACAGTGACTATTATAAGTGAATACTACTTGCTATCTTCTCAATCAGGCCGTTTCACAGGTGAAACAGTAAAATGCATTATGAGGTTGGGAGTGGGGGTGTCCACATTCTTAGCCACATACTGAAGAAAACAGATCTGTGTTCAGTATTGGTAATCCTAATTCCATGCATTTTTGCATTTACTCTCAGGTGCTTTATCACTGGGTTGCTACCCACCACCACTGCAGGGACATCTGTATCACAAACTTCTAACGATTCCGTCTTACTTATCAGAGGTGGAGATGCTGTTGGCCATTGAAATATTTCTTGTTTCAAATGCCAGTGATATTCAAAGTCCAGTGGCTACTAGTCAGACTCTTCAAATAATACTGAAAAGGTTTGTTGCCAGATATATGTAATTTTGATGGTATTTATCCATATGATCATGTACTTAAGGATAGAGCTTATTTTCCATTGTCTGGGAAAGGCAATGTTCGGGTTTAAACTTGGTTTTAATCCTTGTTTCTAAACTGGTTGTAGAACAGTAAAGGGTATGGGGAGGTGTTGTTATTATTGTCATTAGTTTTTACATATGTGTAGCAGAAAAGTAATTGTTCCACAGTGATACTGGCCTGTGTTTCTTGAGTGTGTCTGTCCCACTGAGAGTGTACTGTATTTTCAAAACCAAGATAGCTTGGTATCTTGATGTATAGATCCTTGTGTTGTGGTTAAGCAGTGTAGCACAGGGACACTGTCAAAATATTACTCCTTTCACATAGCAACTCTTGAAATTTCTTGGCTTTTTTTTTTGGAAAGTGGGTGAAGCCATTTTACTTGATTCTCTTTATAGTGGATATCTTGACTTTTTTTTAGTTTTTCCCCTTTCTGTGAGACTTCATACCTTCAGGTAAAAATATGTTTTGTTGCTTTTTCCTTTTGTCCATAAACCACCAACCAATGTCACTAGATTATACCCAGACTTTGTTTTTCTCAAGAGCCCTTTTTCTCTGAGTTGACTGGCTCATCATCAAAATATGATACTGTATAGAAAAGCAACATTTGTTAAGAAAAATGAGCAGGGGCATCTCAAACTTAAGAACCCTGTCTTCCTTCCCAGAGAATACATCTCTTTTTATTTTGTTCTTTTGAGAAATTTTTTACTTCAGTTTCATGTGTATGCTATTGTACCTCTGCTTGTTTGTTTAAAGGGTAAGTTCTGCTTTTGCAAAAATGTAGGCATGTTACTTGGGCACATCCTTATTCCAAACATGATTACACACCAAAAATAAGTAATCCTTTTGGATTCAAGCATGTGCATGAATTCTTGCTATATCCAGTTTATAAAATGGTTCACATTCCTTCACTGAATTTTCCAGCCGAGTCAAACATTTCTTAATGAAACATGCTGTGACTACAGTAGACCTACTTTGCACTAGCATTAAATCCCATTACTTTTCATTATTGTAGAATATGTTTAAAATACACCTTTCCTAACTTTTTAATTATTTAGAATAATCAGCTAAAATTTGTCTAGAAATGGACATAGTCTGTTCTAAGTGAAGTGAACCTTAGACATTATTTTAATGTTTTTGTAATCTTGTTGCCAGTATAAAGCATCAGGCAAGTGACACAAAGCCTGTATGGTACCTAACTTTGTGTTTGTAAAAATTCACTTACAGATGCGCACATCAGGCAGTTCAGAATAGCAGTGACTACCAGGCAGCAGTGGAGAGACTGATCCAGGCTGCTCGTGTGTCTGATCCAAAGCTTTTTCTTAAGCATATGACAATGAATGTTAATATGGAAGAAGTTTACAGCTTGGAGCTTACATCTGCTCTAAAGTGGCTTCAGGAGAATCTGAAATGGGCTGGGAAGGTCTGGCTGTTTCAGTAATTATTAAATAGTCAAGACTTTTGGGGTTTAATGGTTAAATCAATCATTGTTGAAAATAACACAAATTAATAAAGGCAGTTTCCCCTGTGTTCAGTCTGTGCCTTACTGATTCTCAGCAAGGCTTGAAACCAAGTCATGTTTTTAAATACTTACATTGATGATAATGCAGATAGTAGCATAGAAGCAGTTATTTTTTTCCCCTGACTATACAGATTGTCACACTGACTTACACAGATGTTTTGTAATGGCATCATTAGATAATGAGGAAACTGCAGCCTCAAAACCTACACTCTGTCTTTTTACAGAGAATCCACTCCTCCCATGAGGTGATAGCATATGTAAGTCCATTGATTGAGTGTATCTACTATTCTTGACTGAGATGTTTTTCCCATTGCTTCATGTTCAGTAAAAGCAGTATGAGTTTCTTTTTTGCCTTCTTCAAAGTATACTGTCCCATCTCTGTGTCCCTTAGAGGTTATTTTCCTTACTCCAAAAACCCAGTAAAAAGCACTTGAGAATGAAGTAACTTCAAAATCACTTGAGACATGCCTGACTTAGGATACTTCCTTCACAGAACTGAGTCTACATAAGTTGCTCACACCTGAAGGTTTAGTTGTGTCTTTATAATAACTTGTATATGGCTTCCCATTTGTATATATGCATTCTTCCACTAAAAAGGAAAACTTGCATTCTCTTCTGATTGTTCTCTTAGAGGGAAGTACTTTTGCTGTGCTTTTGCCCACTTGTTTAGTTTCTGACAACTGCATGATGAGATGGAGGCTTTAATCAAGCTTGTTTTTAAGGGATTCTTCTCCACCCACCTGCAAATCCTGAATGAGATTGGGAGCATTAATTGCTTAAGTCACGCTTCAGCTATTAATCTACAGCCTGTGTAAAAAGAAGCAAATGTTTCGTATCAGAAAACTTTTGTGGCAAATCAGTGGGACCTCTGTCAAATTTCATACTTGTCTGAGCTCCCCACTTCTGTAGTGTTAGTTTAGATCTCCTGTACCAACCTTCACAAGCATGCCAATAACACAGCTCTTTCGGTCCTGCTCTCCATCTTCTTTGGAGATTTTTGTGCTAAAAATTTCTACTCTCTTGGGTATAGAAGTTCTTGGGGTTTTTACAACTGTTCCACCATAAGAGAGATCAAGATGGTGGCGTAAGCTCACAGTCTGTGAAAAATCTTTTGCTTTTTTGGGGCAGCCTGAGTCTCTTCCCAGTTCCAGCAGCATTATTTATTGCAAGTGTCGTTTGCACCTCTGAATCATGAAAGCCATTATGATCTTAGCACTGGGATGTTTGTGGAGGGTTTTCATGGATGGGGTTGTTAGTGTTTTGGGGTTTTTTTTTGTCTGGGGGGGGGTTGCCACTCTAGTCCTGAGGTTCATGCCATTAATCTGATTAATATTATCAGCAGTTGGCTTCATGGTCAGATCCAGACACTTTTTGATACCACTGCTCACCCTGTCTGGAAGTCGCTGCTGGAAGAGAGAGGACTGAATATGATGACTGCCACGATCACTGCCTTCCTGCTGTGCTACTTGTACAGAAAAATGTTCTTGTGTTTTCACAGGCTATCATTCTTCTGTAGGGATCTCACCTGCTTTCCTTCTAAAAAAAAATGGAAGATTCAATACTGACAATTGGATAGCATTTATCTACTAAAAGCTCCTTAGCTCAGCATTTCTCTTGAAGAACAGCTGGCACTAGTTCAAGCAGACGTTTGGTTCCACCACATGGTATTCGCCAGGATGGCCCTGCCATTTGCAAGGCTATCCACCTGGGAAAATTCAGCTGCATTTTGCTGCTTCTGTTTCCCAGTAGCTGAAATACTGGATAAGAAGTGATGAGGTTTCAGAGAAGAGATCTAAGCCAGTGTTCCTCCAGCCACTCCAGTATTAGTGGCAAGCGCAATTTTGGGAGATTTTGACAAACTAAAACTGGCAGTGAGAAAGTAAGTCATTTTTGCTAATTACTTTCTGTAAAATCCTTTGTAGCTTAATCTCCCTTGGAATTAGAGCCTTTCTAACTTCAGCTAAATCCCACAGTTCTGTAAGCAGTACCAGATGTAGCTAACACTGTGTTTGAGAAATTCAGAAGAGCAAAATTCTCTTAGTCATCTGTATGGCTTCAAAGTTTGGGATGTTCTAGAGACAGCTTTATTTTCTCAATATAAGCCACCTTGAATTTTCATTTAGATCATCCCCAGAAAAAAAAAAAGTATTGCTTTATTTTTCAGACAGAGGTTAATCATTGACCTTCTAGCTTAACTTGGACTTGCCAAAATTTGTGCAGTGTTTTAGCTCCATCTCCCAAATATCATCTTCAACTGATAGAATGCAGTCTCAGCCCTGTGTTACATTAACAAGGAAAGCAAGCTCCCCACGATGTTGCTGAGATGTTTTGTTACAACTGGTGCATCTGCTGTTTCTGTCAACATAGTGGTTCTCCCTATCACCATGATAAAACAGCAGGAAATTTAAACAACTGTACTGTTAAGTCCCATATTTTGCATTTTTGTGCTGAGCCCATTTGAAATACCATACAAATCTTGTCATGTTGATGTGTTTCATAATGCCAGAAAGCAACCTTCTCAGTACTGTTTTGGTGACAGAAATTCCATGTGATAAATAGGACAAAACTCCAATATGGAATGGAAATAAGCCTGGAAAGATGAAAAAATCCGTTCTGAAAAATAAAGTACAACAAGAGACAGTGCAATTTTGCAGACCCTGCCATTCAGAAGATATGATATGTTTAGTTTTTCATGTAGGAGATAAAATGTTTACCTGTTTGTAGAGAGAGAAAAAAAAATGTGCAGAAAACTTTCCTGTACTGCTCTCAGTAGCTAGGTCTAGACAACACTGTGCTTCAGTAGGTTGTTAGATGCATGAAAGTTCCCTTTGTGAAAATCTTTCTTCAGTTTTCACTGATTACAAGGTATGCTCTTGGAAAGATTAACTTCTGTTAGGAATGGACAAGTTCTTGTAACTAAAACAGAGTGATTTTGTTTGGAAGACTTACCACAGTTTTATTTCAAAGCATTTGATAGTTTTGAGCGTTTCTTAAGCCTCATCACGGACAGAGGTAAGAAGCTGGAAATAACAGCTTGATAGTTTCACAGTGTTTTATAAAGTGCAATTGTGGGGGTCATTTTTCAGTCGTTGTTAAGATGTTAATAAATTTTTTTTTATTCTTTCTCTGAAGTATCCACAATTATCTGTGAGTATTGTCACTCAGTTATTTAATTCCGTTCAGATCCCTGTAATTAATACGCTTGGGTATGCAGGAGGACAGGCAAATGGCAAAGCAGACATGGAGAGTTTAACATCTTATAACTCCTGCAGGAATCTAGACTATGATATGCTGCGTGAAGAGGTTAAGAACGTGTGAGATCAGTCAGACTATGCAGTTTTTCACCACGCCATAGCATATAATTTGGCAAATGCTCATGAATGAATTGGGCAGAAATTCTCAGCTGTGGACATGGCCAGCTTCCAGTTTGAACTACAGACCTGAGCCAAGGTGACAGTGAGGCCTGTGGGCTGGGCTCCATTCATGGGAGAATTCTAATGGATGTCAATGAGAGTCTCACAGGAGGAGAATAGTAAACTTATATGTCCCTGGTATAGTAATCAAACTTTTAATTACCAAAATCTTAATGCCATACTCCTCAGCTTGGTGAAGTGCAGGCACATTAACAACTAGTAGTTTGCATTTTTGTCTGTCCTCAGTCTTCAGATGCATCTTCACAGGGCGCTTTATTTTTGCACATCCCAGGTCTGCATTTTTGAGTCTTAACCCCTTCTGCAAAACCGTTTTCTAAAATTACTAGTATGATGAGTAGTACCAAAAATTAGTGCTGACATTGTTGGCTTCAGAGTCTCTGTGCTATTGCGTGTGATGGCACTGGAGAAACTCCCCATCTGCAGACCACAGTGCACAATAGAAACAGAGGAGCAAAGAGGAAATGGCTGTTGCCTACTTGCAGCAACTTGTGATGCTTAAAATTCTTCTGTTGGGGGACACGGGTATTCAAAACACATTGAACTGGGGGCCAGGAATGGCGCTCTGGCTCTGTTTGGTGGTGGCGTCTACTGCTGAGCTCTCTTTACTTTATTCGTCACATAGTTAAATCCCAGGTGAAATGAACATCATACTTTCTGTTTAATCAATTAAATTTATTTTTCCATCTTTATAATTATGCAGCCACTGTACTTGCTAACTGATGGCTTCTATCAAATAAAACCCATGCTTCACATCATGGAAATCACACAAATACCACATGGCTTGTGAAGCATCAACTTGAATTAAAGTCTCACTGAACTACAGGTAGTTCCTAAGCCTTGACAGTTTGCTTTTTAACCTTCTCTGCATGGAAGTGCAATGGACTGTATGCAGGTTAACTCCAATCCCTTGGAGTTAAAACCCCCTTTGTTTTAAAACTCGCCAGATCAGTAAACGTTTTTACTCTGAGGCTGCATATCTCCATTAGCTGCTTCTTGATACCAGCTACCTTGGAGAAATAAACAGATTTATGCATCGAGCATTACTAATCGCCGAGCAATCGTTCTTGCTTTTCCCCTCGGCGTTGCTCACGGCTGGTTCTTAGGCCTTCTAGTATTTTCCTCCTGCGCTATTCGGAGAACCCGCACACAAAAAGAGCTGCGACTTATTGTGCCTCCATAGTCCCTGTGGACACACTCAACTACCAGAAGCAAGCCCCGACACCTAGCACCCCTCGCACGGGCGGCCAGCTCCACCGCTGCCCACAACACCATTATCCCCCCCCCGGAGCCAAACGGATTCCAGCAGCAACAAGCACAGCACGGCGACCCTGAGGCTGCGCCTGCGCGGTGAGAGGGGCGCACGGAGGCTACGTGAGCGCCGGGGGCGGGGTGGACAGCGGCGGAGGAGCTGCCCCCTGGCCGGAATTACTGCTCCCGCCCCGCCCTCTCCCACCGCCTAGCGTCAGTGGGGGTGGCCGCGCCAGGCAATGGGGGTCGAGCGCCGGCGGGTGCTGTCCGGCCGTGGCGGTAAGAGGGGCTGGCGGTCCTTGGGCTCCGCCGTGAGGGGAGGCAATGTGA